CGCTTACCGTGCGGTAGGTGCGGCTCAGCGCCACCACCAGCTTCGCCTGGTTCTGGTGCGGCTGCTGCGCCAGCTGGAAGGCCTCCTTAATGGACAGCAGCCTCTTCTCGGCCCCCATGGTGGCGCGACTCCGCGAGGACCAGTCCTGCCTGCGCTCGGCTGCAGCCGGACCCACTGACCACAAGCCAAGTCCGCAGAGTCCTCTCAGACTCCCTGCTGCGGGCCGCGGAGCTCGCGGGGCGTGGTTACCGCCAGAGCGTTTAAACAACTCCCGCGGGAGAGGGAAATATCGCGAGACTGCCGAGCCGGCGGCGGGAGGCGGGAGGCGGGAAGAGCGACCACCCACCTCCAACATGGCGGTTGAGGCGCGTGCGCTCAGGGTTTCTCCAACCGTTTTCGGGTAGGAAGTGGCGTTTCTCCGAAGAGGCGGGGCGAAGGCTCGCCCGGAAATAGTCCCCGACGGAGAGGGCGAGCGGAGTGGCATCGCTGGGCTTACCCTGATCGTGCGGCAGGGCGTGAGGCGAAAGAAAAAAACAAATTCTCCTTTGGTGAGAACGGGGAGTCTGCTGAGGGGAATCCAGCGGGAGGGGAGCAGGGGAGCCAGGGAGGAGGGGCTCGTTTGGAGCTCCGTCGGGAAGGGAAAGATAGCGGGTGCTGAGGGCCGGGCCGCGGCCTGGCTTCTGCCGCGAAGGGAGACGTTCCGGGTCGGCTGAGGGCGCCGTCCCGCGGTCCCCTCATGGAGGCGGCCGCTGTCTTTCAGCCTTGGGCCCCGGCCGGTGGCAGGTGTGCGGAGGAGGGCGCGGACAGGGCACCCCGCGAACACAGGCACATTTAACTGAGAAGCAGCCTCCTCCAGACGCGCCAGCTTCCCAGGCCTCGTTCACCAAGTGCGTAGCGACCGTGTACTCGGAGAGAGCAGAATGGCTCTAAAGTTTGCAGGGTCGTCGAGATAAAGAAATTTGGAGTGCTGCGTTCAGGGAGAACTAGGCCTTTAAACTTTTTTTAAAAAAATGAATTATATCAAACCAGAGCGAGTATCTCGGTACTCTGCCATCTAAAGAAATAGATTACAGCCCGGCCTCGACCTGAGAGCCAGGAGGTCAGGGCACATACCGGGGTTGCAGGCTCAATCCACAGTAGGGGCGTGAAGGAAACAGCCAGTGATTCTCTCTCATCATTGATATCTCTCTCTTTCTCTCTCTCTCTCCCC